GCAGAAGGTTCAGGCCCAGCATGGGAGGAAAGTTCAGCAGGTGCCTTAGATGCTGAAGGTTGCTTGACTGCTGTAGGCAAGGATAGATGATTTATATGGTTTCATCTACAACATCAAGTCAAGTGTCATTAAAATAAACAATAACGGCCAAATAAGCAAATTCTAACACATTTATTAGCCTCTCCATCTCCGACATACGAAGGCTCACCCCAAATGGTGGCAAGGACTGTCCTCGATGGCTTCACAGGCCAGAGGCTGAGACACGTCGCCTTCCGGCGGCAGAGCCAGCGTAGCCACCTACATTAACTCCTGAGGCGGCAGCTGAGCTGATCACTGGTGGAGTGGATCTGGAGCACAAGCACATAAGTGACATGCACTCCAGGCTTCCTTCCTACCACTAAGAGTGGCAGTGAATCAGAAGATTTTGCAATATTCTCTACCCTCTGTTTCTTCTGTACTGCTCAGCCCCATCCAACTTCTTTTCTCTAGTCTGCCTTATCACACCAACCCGACGATCGTTGACCTATGGAATCTTTTCAGTTGGTCATCCCTCTATAGGTTTTTTCTTTTGAGGCGGCCTAAAACTCTCTGATTTCTTCTTCTCGCCCCATGAAGGACAAAACTTTAAGGTTGGAAGCGTGAAGGTCTTATCAAAGTTTCCTCATTTATAAGTTTCTTGCCGCTCAACATTCTTATGCCTTCCCAAAGACGACTAATTGCTAGAAACCTCAGAAATGAAGAGTGGGGAACGCAGATGGTACCTTATTTATAGGAATTTGCGACACAGAAATCCAGAGTGTAAAGTTATTGAAAGTACTTATTATTCAAACATAAACAGTTTTATCATCGAGAATCTGACTGCTCGAATCTCAAGGGAATTAAATATGTACAGCAGGGAATTAAATATATACATCAAGAATATGACTGCTTGAATCTCGAGGGAATTCAATAGATCAGATAGGATCGAGCAACCAACCATCATTTCAGTAGGTCAAATTAAGGGCCCACCAAAAGAGGATTTGTTCGAACCAAAGAATGCCAAGAACCTAGACCGACAACAGTTTAACCAAAGCACAGACACTTAAAAGATCAACGATTGCTTAGTAGAATTACCACCTGACTTTTTATGATCAAGATCTCTCCACCAAAGGAGGTTTGCCTATGAGATTACGATGATGCACCATCCGCCTGATGGAATCCTATGGATAACAAGTCTTCACGAGGTGCTCCCTTAGAGAAGCCGATCGAAGATCTGTCAACGATTGAACGACTTTAGCTAACTGAGAGAAGATAAAATGACCAAGTCAAACAGTCATAAATATGAAACATTGCCCTCTAGTAATCAAAAGATGTCAAAGCCGGTTAGTAATATGTAAATGTGTAATGACTCATAAATTCATTGTAAAGTTTTCGTTAAGTGAGGGACAATCATGTAATTTACTAGACTCCCCCTATGATCTATAATAGGTAGGTCATTTCCACACTAAGGATTACTGAGTCCATTCCTAGAGAATTAGTATTATTTGTTATCTACCCCCTTTCCCTTCACTCGTTTCTTTTATCTGACCAACTTTCTATTCCTTGGACGTGACCCGAAGGACATTTTAGGATTCAACAATATATATATATATATATTGAAAATGAATGGTCAGAGACTATTATGCAAGCCTCCAACCACCCTTAATGTGTCTAACAATTTGAGTACCACCTCCTTAAGGGCAACTGTGCTAGAAGAAATTCGAACCACCGACCTTATAGATCTTATACCATGGATGCCAACCAATAGATCAGAATACACTACACAACAATATATATATATATA